AGTATATACTGTATTTACAGTATATGCATTCGTAAATTTAGATTACTTTTTTCTGTACTGTATTAAAAACTAAAATTTATTTGTTTGTAAGCTTAAAATAGATCCTTATTAAACATATATTATTAAAAATGCATTAATAAATAAAAAAACAGAACCGAAATTGGTAATTTATGGTTTAGCCTAGTGACAAGTAGATTTGGAGACAAGTAAATTCGACTTACGTCGTTTTTCGACTTAAGTCGTTCTCCTGGAACCAATTACCGACGTAAGGCGAGGTATATCTGTATTATTAATATCAAAAATAATACATTTTCTTGTAGAATTTAAAAATAAAAGTTATAAAAATATTTTTAATTTGGCATGTATGCCAAGTGTTTAGTAAATATATATTTAAGATGTCAAATACACTTTTCTTAATATGCTATGAACAGGATAACATTATTAGTGAGTGCACGTTCTGTAAAACTAAATTTTTAAGGTTTTAGTATTACTTAAAAAGGAAAAAAAAGTAAATTTAAAATAAATTCAGAACTTGTGCGTAAAATTATATTATAGTCCTACTTGGGGAAGAAAAAGTAAAAACGTATCAGTTGAAAATAAAATCAATCGAATACTTCGCCCACAAAAGAGTCGCAAGAAATATTTTTTTGGCCGCAATACAATTTCAAAAATAATAAAATATGATATGCAAACAGAAAAATGTAAACTAACAAAGTCTCGTGCTAAGCAACTATTATATAGGCCTAATTAAAACTAAAAAAATGCTAAAATGTAATTGACGTCATAAAAAATTTCAAAGGTAGATCACCGGTAAAAACGAAAAAGTCTGCGAAACACTACTATATAACACACATAAGATATTGAGATGAGCATTTTTCATTTTAAAATATGTAGAATTATTGGTGAATATATAAGTAGACCTATAAATTTGAGTTGCTTGTTTTATCCTAGATTTGTAGATATAGTCCTATATATGAACATCTATAACCTACAATTCATATCAATAATATGATGTTATATTACAGACAAAAACCTATACTTAAATTAATTTCAAACTATATCTTTATTTTACTGACTTAAAATTAGTAAACTATCTCTGCGCTTTGTTCTTTCTTTGTGCTTAGGCCTGCATCTAAGAATTCAACAAAGTATTCTAAACAATCAATCCGTATTCTTTTATTCTTTATACACATTACAGATATATTTGACAATGCCATGTGGCATTGGTAGCATCTTTCCGATACACCAATAATTTACAATCCCAAATAATATAATTTTATTTAGTTACGATTTTAATTTTATATAAAACAATAGGCTTCTTATGTTTAATAAACAATCATTTAGTTTTCGCATTTCCTCATTGCACTTAAAAATATTAAATTATGCAGTTTAAATTATTATCCTGTTGTACTGTACTGTACTGTACACTACGTTAATCATTTGAATATTCGAAAAGCTTTATCTTATGTCCTCGAAAGCTATACAGTATTTTATAATCATATTAGATATTTTAAAAAGTCGGTAAATATCAGCTTAAATGTATCTCAGAGTGTTTCTTATTGATAATCAGTCACCATCGATTCATTCCTCATCAGTACGCAACAGTAATTTCCTGTATACACTTTCACCTGCCTTTTTCTGATATCGACTCCCGGTCCAAACAGGAAACTGCAACTTAACTCGATGTTTTATTTCTGATATTAATAAATAAAAGAAATGCTAAACTGTTAGTTAAACGAATGTCCATAAAAATTGACCTTTCTGCAATGATTTCTCTCACTATCTAATCAATCAAAATAATGCAGTGATCCCATCTATCAGACGTAATCTTAATATAACATAAAGATTAACGTAATCTTTATAGAAGTAATATAGCGCAGAAATTGTTGAAAAGATCATACATAGATTAAGTGCTGTTATTTAGATAAAAGTAACATTTCTTTGACAATATGGAAAAATAATTTAATCGCTACATTTTACAAAGTACGAAGTTATAAATCAAAGATTTTGTTAAATTGTTTGACAAATAAAATAAAAGTTCAATCATATTGAATTCAATTAGAATTTTGCATGATTGAATTTCATTTAACATAAGCAAAAAATTATTATTATACATTTAACGGAATGAATAATAACAATTTTTTATGTCATCAATAGAAATAACAAAAATGATTGACAGAAATTACAATATTAAAAAAGAATATGTATATTGTCAATAATTTTATAGAAATTTCTAGATTTTAACAAGTAGATGTTTAATTAATTTAATTCCGTTTGATTAATAATTAAAGTTTTTTTAATCATAATCTTTTACTTAATGATTGAGTTAAGCACTGTAATTCCACTACGAATAACTGTTTATATCTGATGTAGGTTTATTGACATATTTATTTATAAATAAATAAAAGTAGAATAATTTATGGTATAATTAAAATTTTATTATATACACAAAAGTTTATCTTTCTCAAGAATGAATAATGTCAAACTTTATGTATCACTCTATCGAGATCACATTAACTGTATTAATTCAGAAAGATGATCACACGATCGTATATCATCTGTAAGATGATACGCGTGAAATATATTTTAATAAAATTACTAGCTTTAATCCATACAAAATCTTTATGCCTTTAGAACTAAATNAAACTTTATGTATCACTCTATCGAGATCACATTAACTGTATTAATTCAGAAAGATGATCACACGATCGTATATCATCTGTAAGATGATACGCGTGAAATATATTTTAATAAAATTACTAGCTTTAATCCATACAAAATCTTTATGCCTTTAGAACTAAATGAAAGAATTTATATCAGCAATTTTTCCAATTATCTGACTTAAAAATAATTTTAAAAACAAAATATTTAAACGAGAATAACTTGAATAGTTTTATGTAGTCTATATTCTGGCATTTGGTATGAAATCCTAATTTGTTCAAGCTTAAAAAAAGCATATTTAAATATTTGGGTGATAATTAATTAATATTTGGAATTAGAATAATATAAATTTAAAAATACTAAATAAAGAATCCAACCCCTTTCGCAGTTTATTGAAACAATAAAAAGTCTCATCTTGGAATATTTATGCTCTATTATTAATCATGGGACGAATGTCTCTATTTAAATCTAACTAAGACATTTATATTCGACTCTGGATAGAAGTCTGTAATATTAATGTTCTGCCATCTACACTTCTGTCATTTTCTCCTAATCCAGATTGCCTTTCTCCGATCAGATAATGGCAATTCCATTATAATTGAACAATTTCCCACTCGAAAATCACCTCATACAAAATTCTAAGAATACCAATAATCAAATATTCATAACCGATCTTAAAATAGATGTCTGTGAATTTATTTTTAAACGAAGATAATACGTATTTACATTTTTATATCGAAGATTTGATCCTATTTTTTTTTTTTTTAAGTAAAAGTGTCGTAAGCGAGGGATTTATTTGATGATGGATATAAAAACTATAGAATTAAATGAAATATTCATGTCTAAAATTTCTATGGGATGTAGTTTATCTTGATTATTGCCAATGGTTCGGTAACAAGAAAGACGACGAAGTAAAAAGTAGTTAATGGGCAGGGTTAAATGTTCGATTGAAGTACGAATCGATGAGGCATCAGAGAGGCTATTTGTAGAGGTTATTTGTACCGGACTAGATCACGCAGGTGTTCACACTCCCGCCTGTACGTTTTTGATGAACGGTTATCGTATTAAATCATGCAATAAATCCCCAACCTTACAGACTAGATGATTAACCGAATTGACCTTGCCATCGCGTGCTATAACACTTTCCCCCTTCGACAAAGCACGAATCCAAATTTTGATTATAGCCATTGCAGAAATGTAAGAATTGCAGACAATTGTGCCACAAATCATGATATTTTATGCTGCGATATGACTTATCGCTTATCTTATTGATAAAATTAGTATATTTGAGTCTGCCTTTATAAAATTTAAACTTATTTACTCCTTACAATAAGAATTTATCTAAGGTGCTGCGCAGTTTTAACTCTCAAATCACTAATCTCGGCTTTTAAAATAAAATAAAGACACTGTTTAAAAAGTTTCCATTCCTATTAAATATTTTTTATTACCGAATTTGTCATTTGTAATTAAATAATGGACAATTTTTTAATTAATTTTAATTTCAGCTAATTAAATAAAATTATATCTACATGTACACGAAAATATTTTTACATTTTGTTAAATATTGAAATAAACACAACAGATAATGATTATATATTTTAATACCACCAGTTTTTGTCAAACAAAATGTGACTAGGCGTCGACTACAAGCAGTGCAATATTTATACAGACACAAATAAATTAATTCCAGTTTTCACTGTAGAACTTTTCGAAATTTTAATCTTTCTGGCGTTCACGTGATTATCAGAAAAAAACTATTCGTAGAAAGTTCTATGTTCACGTGACAAATTTCTGATTAAAATTCCAAAAAACTTCATAAGCGTCAACCGATTTTTTAGACATGACGCGTTAACAAAGTACGTTTTATAGTTGCCTTTGTACAAAGTATACTTTATATCCGTTTGTCGATTTAAGTGATAAGCATGACAACCTAATAAAAATGTTTTTAATGCTTTATATTATATACTTAATAAATATTTACGAATTTATAAACTAAATATTTTATTGATAATTTGCGAGAGAAGTAAAACATCCAACATTTTTCATAGGTTGTCATGTGAAGAACATAATTCAATTACCCGCGATTTTATAAGGGACTTTCTCTTTCGCTTTGTCAAATAAATAAATCCTAAAGCAAAATCCCATAATGAAATAAAAATATATTAAAAATAAATAAATTCTATGCANGGCGTCCGCGACAGGATTCCGACAGTAAAATCTCCTTGTCCTTACGTTATCTGCAGAACTTTCAATTGTACGCGTATCTTAGTCCGTATAAGTTTTTTTTATTTTGTGTTTTCTTTTTTTATATATATTATATATATATATATATATAATATACATATATAAAAATGAAATCACACAATCGTGATGCTATCAGTCGTCGATCGTCGTCATAAATGAATCGCATCGAAATTGAATCACGTCTTTAATCGGGGAATGTTGAAAATCGTGACGTAAGAATAGATGGCGTAGTGGAACTAGAAGGTAAGAGGGTAGTAGCAGTTGGTTTGTAATAGCAGGTTCCACAAAAAGCTGGACAGACTGGTGAAGAAGTGCTGGCCGCTGGAGGAGAATACAAAGATCCGAGAGTCGTGGCTAGTGCCATGCACCTGCGATGAAAAATTTATGAAATTTATTAAGCTGATGTAATTATCGTGTTAACAATTCATTACACTGTTGAGTAAATGCAAACTTATAAATAACAGACAAACTAAATCACCAGCTACTTATTGTTTCATCGAGAAAAAGTGCATTTCGTTTAACCGATATAAGCTTATTTCCTAGAATAACAATATTTAATTTCTTCCGTGTTAAATTTAAACAAAATTAATTCGTTTACAAGGAAATAAAATTAGATAAACAATCTATAATTATTTTTTAATTAAAAGAATTTTATTTTAATCTATTAATTCCATTCTACTTAATTTAATAATTTTTATATTTATTAAACTTACACTAATGCTCGGTTTATCAGTGCTTCTATTTTTTTCTCTATCATCATCTGAGCTCTAATAAACAATAAATCTCACGAGGTCTATATCAGTGTGATTTTTGTTTTTTGTTCTCAATATTTAAATTCAAATTACATACTGAAACATCGATAATCTGCTTTAAAATGTTAACTAAATTTATCAAATTATCTCAATATAACAGAGTAGCAAAATTTCAGCATTTTAAGACCGTATTCGTATAATCCGTTATATTATATTTTTATAAAAATATTTTAAATTTTTTATTAATAGAAGATCTTAAATGTTTATNATAATAAATAATTTCTGAAAAATAAGTAGGCCTAGGATAATAAATTTTAATATTTAAAAACATTTTAAATTGCTTCAATTGCTTAAAATTTGCCGAAAAAATAAAGTAAGAAATCAGCACATCCGTGACTTTTTGTTAAGCATAATGTGATCTGATAAATTCAGATAACTTTCATTTATTACATAGACAAATAAACTTAACCATTTATTTCGGCGATATTAAAAAAACTTTAGAGCATCATTTAATCTTCATGTATTCATTATTATTGAATGTAGCATTCATTAATTACTGGATAGCGTGGGAGCTCCTGCGAGCAAATAAAAAAGATGCAAAAATGTTCATAGCCTATTTTTCTTTATCTTACAACTGAGAGTGGGATAAGAAAATTTCTAACCATAAAAAAAACTTTCGATATAATTTTTGCAAATTAAATACGGCAGGTTTTTGAATTATTATACCGTACGTCTAAAAGAAATATTATAAAAAAAGGAAAAAAAATGAAAATTGTGTGAAGTCTGAATTTGGACACCTGAAGCACTACAATTTTTAATACTACCCGAAAAGCCTTCATCGGACAGAGGAAATCCCCATCGATCACGTGATTGAAAGAAAGACAGAAAAAATGGTGCCGAGAATCCTCGTCGACAGTTATAATTACCTTGTCACCAGGGATCGTTTACCACGTGGCTCGACTGTAGCACTTTTGATGTAATTGGCTCGCCCACACACTCACACCTAACAGACGGGCGGGAGAAATATAGACATCAGCCGACGAGGAAAATCACCTGCCTCTTTACTAGCTATCCATGAAACTTTAATCGGGCGGTTATAGACATTAATATTAATTACAGAGTAATAGGTCCATAGCGATAAAGCACCCACTATTCTACTCCAGCAGACATCAAGATTGGGGCTACAACTAATTCCAGGTTAGTCACGTGTCATTAGTGACAATTTCCTCCTTCTAAGGCGATTTCAATTAGACGGGGTTAAGACATGTTGGAAAATATATAATTATGATTAAAATATAGATTGTCATTATATATTTAATGAATGGACAAAAGCTGCTAGTTGTTTTCGAAAAATTTTTCTCCAAAAGATTTGTTTAATGAATAATTTTAATTATGGTCTACGAAGGATAAGAGATTTTGTATTATGAATTCTAAGGATAAAAATAATGGCAATTTAATTTTTATCTATGTTTTTATATATCGGCCATTTGCAATATCCCATTTTCGATATTAAGTGATTGGCGACTTATTTTCATAACTTAATATTAAGCAGAATATAGCTGTTAAAGATAAAAGATGTGATTCTCATCTCCAAAATCGTTCAACCTCACACGAAGGATGAAGACTATAATTTGAGACAGAAAAAGCTTTATTCTGACTATGCAAAGTATCCCATGCACTCGATTTAATACCAGGACTTTTCAACCTCTCAATAATTGAGTAGTCCATGCGCACTGGAAATAAGATATTGGTCTATCGAGCCATAATGCTAGCTATCACGTCAAGACAAGTTACTGTAGAACAGCTGAAAAGATGGATGCAAAACTGTACGCGAGTAATACAAAGGAAGATTTCGATAGAAACATTTTATACTTTCTTATCGAATTTTTACTGCAGAACGTTTTTAACGCTTTATAAATTACATTAAACAAATTTTACTTCGCTGTAAGATATCAGGCAATAAGTTCTTTCTAACTTCCTCTTAGACAGAAAGGTTATGGATCAAAAAAAGGAAGAAAAAAAGAAAAATTAATGGCTTAGTAATTAGGATAAAATTGCACCAAAATTTGCTCATTTTTTATAGAATATAATTAAGTAGTGGGTGATATTCTCGCTTAAACGCATGGTAATTTTTTAAACCCACTTCTTTTAGGAAAGGAAATTGAATCTTATACGTCGTCAAGAGTAAAAAATGGGTGAATAAAAATACCACTATTCTTATAGGAGAGGGGGAGTTAAATTTAATTAAAATCTGGATCGAGGCGGAAAAAATACAGACGTATTTTCACGCGCACACCTTGCGTAATTACAAGTCGTGCTGCGAGATGGCGCAGGTGTACCTTTCTAATGTGTAATTACGTCATCTGTGGAATCTTTTGCCTGTTTTTCCATCTTTATTTATTCTATCTTTTCCGAGTTTCATTGAAAAGCGAAGAAAAATAAAGTAGTCGTTGCTAACAATTGATTATAGTCATAGCTATCGGGGAATTTAGGTAAGCCGGATTCTATAGGGAAAAAAAAGCTGAAAATAATTGAAATTCTTTCTTTTCTCTTTACTTTCTACAAAATAAATGGATTTGTTATGAAATAATATAATTTCGTTGTCGCCGAAGGAAGGAATAATTCGATAGCTTCATTTGTTTTAACAAAATAGAGTCATCGTAATTCATTTTAATACATGCAAATTGTTATTTTTTAACGAAGAAATGATCGTTGGGCATATTAACAAAGCCAGAGAATGACTTTTTTCATTTCAAAGAATAGTTAGTACCGGTTCAGTAATTAAAACATAAAGTTAGTAAAAAAAAACGTAATACAACGAACTACTTAAGTCTACAACAAATTAAAACAAAAAAAGAAACTTGAGTTTATAGAGAATTAATGCTTACTAATTAATACCTATATTGTTGGTCCATTTGTGCTTTTTCTATCCTTTTATCTTTTGCCCTCCTATTTTGGAACCAAATTTTAATTTGAGTTTCCGTTAAATCCAAGCTTTCTGCTAATTCAAATCTTCTAGGTCGACTGATATATTCATTTCTATGATATTCCATCTCCAATCTTAACGTTTGTTCACTTGTAAAAGTCGTCCTCTGTCTTCTTTGGCGACCATCTTTACGTCTTCTACGATGGACTATACGATAGGAAAATATTTAATTAGTATTAATATCCTCTTATTAAGATCCTAAATCATGCTTTTGCATCAAGTTAAATGGATTTTTATCTTAAATAAATGTCTCAGTTTTTGAATATTTAATTAAAATTAAATGAAAAACTAAATAAATACATTTTTTTATCTCTCGTCTGTTAAGAAAAAAACTAGAAAATGAGATTAGTAATAAATTAATATTAAAATATTTAAAATTTTGTAATTTTATAAAAATTCGTTGTTATTTAAATAAATAATTTTTATGATTTTTTACGGAAAGAAAAATATCGAGTATCCTTCCAATTTTTATTATAATAATTTTCATTAAAGAATAAAAAAAATTGTAATTATTGTATTAAATAAACTGCCTTTTTTATCCACACAAGTTTTTTTAATATNTATTATTATTATTATTAAAAAGGTAAATTTAAAAATTACGATTGAACTTCAGTTTAAAAATTATAAGATTTACAGTAATAAAACAATCGTGTTCAATAAAGTAGAATTATATTTATATTTTGATAATTTAATAAGGATAAAAACATTATAAAAATTATTAGATAAAAACTTATTCAAATTAAATTATGTAAATTATTTATATAAAATTATATAAAATAATTGGCAATATTTAAATCACATTTTCTAACGAAAATCGCAATTATATTAAGCTTATTTTTGAAGATTTCATCTGCATTTACTACAGAAAAAAGTACTGTACGGTACAGTACGTCATATTTGTAGTTTCTATCTTATGAAAGATATCAACTATTTAATTCAATAAGAAATATTTCTTAAAATTACTATTATTTTAAAGAACTGGTTGATATAAGTCAACATTAAATTTACTGTTAAAAATTACAAAACATTTCTAAGCAACTGTACGCATTAATTTGTCTATTTTCTCTTTAAAAAATGCAGTTGTTTCATCCGGGAATTGTCAGATAAACTTGGAAATTTTTAACTTATTTATATTTATCAATTATAATTTATATATTTAAAAAAATAAAATATCACTTATAATGCGCTTTATAACAAAAACGGCGATTATTTTATACGCTTTTAATATAAAATAACTTCCTGTACACTATATTTTTGCAATAAGAAATAAATATATTACATATTTTCTTTATTTATTCGGTGCAGTTGAATTAGAGATAAAAATATGTTCGATTAATAAAGCTATCCATATTCCTTTAATAAAGTTATAATAATATCAGTTTGATATAGTAATAAACGAAGTAGCCTACAATCTTTATAACAATAAAAATAGCTCTTCTTATATTTGAACACCCTATTTATAGAAGGAAGCTAGCAAATCTTCACTTGAGAAGAAAGAAAGGCCATTTCACAAACAATTCTATTATCATCTCCTGAAGCATCAACAAAAAACATTCCAGTAGCTTTCTCTCCTTTTATTACTTTCATAATAAAGAGATAATAGATTTAAAATAATTTTTAAAATAGCCTAATTTTACTTATATGATTCGTATGATATTCTCATTAAATTTATTTTTATGAAATATGTTTTTTAATTTGTTATTCCCGCTTAATTTACGTTACCTTTTATCATTTTTTATTCAATTAGTCTTATTATAACAATTATTTTTAGATGTATAAGTGCTTAAAAAATAAAAAATGGAAATGAAAATTGCATTTATTTAATTACTACTTTCATTATGAGGATACAAAAAATATATAAATTTATGCCTAAATTTTACTTATTAAGTTCGGCTATTCTTGAAAATCATAAAAAAATTTCAAACCTAAATATGTTAAGTCTATAAATGGTAATTATCTGCAGTTTCATCGCGTTTATTAAATTAATTTAATTAACAAATTTCAATTTCGAATTCCTAAGCAATTTAAGTTTTGAAGGAAATTTCATTAATGCGAGAATTATTAACCTAATTAATTTATTTAAAATATCGAAAAAAACTTAATTCGACAGTTTACTTTCTTTAAACAATTCCTCGGTATCAACTTTAAAGATGATTTTAAGATTAAAAAAGGAAGAAATTATCTAAAAAAATAAATCTTTTAAGCTTATAAAACTAATTAACTTTAATCTTAACCTTTTTTATATTTATTTAATAAATGTTTGATATGCTATTTTATAATTCAATTAATCGGTTTAATGTAAGTTTTATTATCAATTTAGAATAATTATATAATAATTAATTTAGTTTAACGAAATAAGGTTAAATAATAGATTACGATAATCAATTAGCCCCTATATTTTTAAAGAGTATGAATAATAAAATTCAACACAGTTTTAAATCATACTTAACTTTGTTTATGCTTTATGCTTAACTAACATTAAAATTATGTTATAATTATATTATAGCATAAAAATAAATGAAGAAGACGTTGCTTTACAGGACTAAAATTGCATGTTAAAAGTTGTTATTTTAACTTGATACATAAGAATTGTTATAATAATGATAATTTGAAAATTTGTCGGATTTTATTTTCGATTTAATAAGGTAAACAAAGAAAATAAAATTGATTAACATTTTCAGGCGATTGTTTACCGATTATGTTCAAGGAAGATTTAATTATATCGCCATATACGATTATAAATCATTCGATATCTTTAATATACATTCATACATACATCATTCTTTGTCTATTAAGCATTTTAGATTACTCTGACAGAAAGAAACTCAATCAAACGTCCACTTCTTGGTCCGTATCATCATTCAAATTTAAATTACAATATTTTAACAAATGTTGGGAAGATCATTAAAAACCATTATTATTCACGGTAAGCGAACTTTGAAAATCAGAAATTGTTACCAAAGGAACGAAATTAATCTTATAAATTGAAGCATTTTTTAATAAAATTCTGTTGACGTTTTTCCGATAATGTTAATTGCTGAATTAGGCTGATTTTGAAAGCTTGAAAAATGAACCTATTAGAATCAGAAATTAGTAGATTACATCACATATAAAACTGTTTGCTTTTTTCTCACATACGTTTTAAATTATAAAAAATGAACTTTTAGTAACGTACGAGCGATCAGATCTTATATCCAACATTACATTTATATCCTTTAAGAGAACTAAAGCAGAAAAAAATTGCCAAATTGAATAAAAGTAGACCTATTTATTTAATGATATCATTGCATTTCCACTGGGAATGAAAATACATTATTAATTTGAAGATTAAAACAAATGATGGCCTACAGTTACTGGTATAAGCCCCAGAGTGTGCCTCCTCTCCAAGAGAAACTCCCCTTCTGCAATTTTTTTTCTTTTTTATATATGCCAAGTGTACAAATTACACAGCAGAGAGGCGTTGAGTACGAATTCACGACTAACACAGAACAATACAAACTTCAGCTTTTTAAATTAATTTTATTATTTGTAATTTAATAATTTTTATATTTATTAAACTTACACTAATGCTCGGTTTATCAGTGCTTCTATTTTTTTCTCTATCATCATCTGAGCTCTAATAAACAATAAATCTCACGAGGTCTATATCAGTGTGATTTTTGTTTTTTGTTCTCAATATTTAAATTCAAATTACATACTGAAACATCGATAATCTGCTTTAAAATGTTAACTAAATTTATCAAATTATCTCAATATAACAGAGTAGCAAAATTTCAGCATTTTAAGACCGTATTCGTATAATCCGTTATATTATATTTTTATAAAAATATTTTAAATTTTTTATTAATAGAAGATCTTAAATGTTTATTTTAAATTGTAAAAAATGCTTTAATACTATTTAATTTTGCCTATAACGAACTGTACTGTACTGTACAGTACGTAAAATATTTTTTATTTACATCCTAAATATTTTTTTTATCATTAAAAAGATAAATAGTTTGAAAATATTATCTTAGGCAAGGCTTTTATCTACAAGTTTTCTACTTGCAAGTATCGGATTTAATTCAATAAATTTATATCAGAAAAACTATGAATTTATCAATTTACTCCATATTTTTACAAGAGTCTGTGAAATTCGAAAAGAACTGAAATTTTACGTTAAGATATTATCTTATTTGGATCATGTATTTCATCTTTATTTAGTAATTGAAATAGTTTATTACATTTTCATTCGTGATAGTATTATCACATATATTGTAGGCTTATTTTTATCGTCATTCCAAGGCTCAGGAGAAGAAAAATGAATTGATCTATCAAACCTTTGGCAAATTGATGAGAATAAAAATTCTTTTCTAACGTGTAATAAATATAACAAATATTAGATATAAACAAAACATAATAGAATGAGGATCGCATGATCTAATTCAAGAATTTAATACTTATTAGATTTTTATATTTACTTTTTCAATAGCATGTATATTCGTAATATTTTGTAATATTCAAGCTAATAAAAGTGTTTCTTGTATTATATATAAAATATACAGTCTTTATTTTTGATTCTTTAATAATTTCACACATTGGTACAGTACTATACTTTTTCATTTAGTAAAATTTTTATTGAAAGGAACTACAGTTAAGCGTTAAAAGTTAAAAATTAAACAGCTAAATAAATACGAGTACGCTATTTTGTTACGATTTTTTAGAGTATTGATAGAATATAAGTGCTTGAAGTATTGAATACTTCCGCGAACGTAGAGTACGAGTAGTTTAGATGCAAATGTAGGGAATAAAGCTAATTTAAATGTGTAGGTTCTGTTGGCCTTTTTATTTAATATTTTACGTATCGTAAAATATTAAATAAACTTTTTATACGTTGACTTTTTAAAAATATAAATACTTTTGCCAGTCAGTATTTAGAATATATAGAAAATCTAATGACAGGCTTTCAAGCAAAGATGGTTTAAAAGTTTAAATTTCTAAAAATGAATGAAATAATAATGATTTTATTAGATTTCCTAAAATTTATAAATTTTTATTGCAAAATAAACAGATAGAATAGCCTTAAGAGCATTATTACATATTATTATTTCCAGTATTTTCATAATTATATAAAGCAAAAGAAGTTAACAAGTATTCAAACTTATTAT